ATGCATTTCCTATCCTCATGTGCCCCCCTCCCACTCCACTGCTTTCTGCAGCCAACCTTGGTGTTGCATAACTGTATCTCTCTCACAACTCTCCATAATCCCTCCTTGTCTCAAGTTCCCCTTCCTAAATATGTTACCATAGAGTCATGGCCACCATCACTAACTGGAATAGCCTTGGCCAAAGGTGGGTCCAACTTGGAGACAGGGGAGCTTTGAGAAGCTACTTACAGGGGCCTACTGCTGTAGCCCCTTCTCCCTTACCAAAATCATGCCACACAGAAAACCAACACACAATCACATGGCACGTACAGGACAACCAGGCGATCAGGCCCAGTCACCATGGGTTTATGAAAGGCAGATCCTGCTTGACAGACCCGATCTCCTTCTATGACAAGATTACCAGCTTAGTGGATGAGGGAAAGGCTGTGGATGTTGTCTGCCTGGACTTTACTGAAGCCTTTGACACCGTTTCCCACATCATTCTTCTGGAGAAACTGGCTGCTAATGGCTTGGGTGAGTGTACTATTTGCTGCGTAAAAAACTGACTGGATGGCTGGGCCCAAAGAGTTGTGGTGAAGTTAAATCCTCTTGGTGGCTGGTCACAAGTGGTGTTTCCCAGGGCTCAGTATTGGAGTCAGTTCTGTTTAATATCTTTATCAATTATCTGCATGAGGGGATCGAGTGCACATTCGGTCAGTTTGCAGATGACACCAAGTTGGGTGGTAGTGTTGATCAGCTTGAGCATAGAAAGGCTCTACAGAGGGATCAGGACAGGCTGGATAGATGGGGTGACGCCTGTTGTATGAGATTCAACAAGGCTAAGGGCCGAGTTCTTCACTTGGGTTGTAACAACCCCATGTAATGATTGGAGAAGAGTGGCTGGGAAGCTGCTCAGCAGAAAAGGACCTGGGGATGTTAGTTGACAGCCACCTGAAAATAAGCTGGCAGCGTGCCCAGGTAGCCAAGAAGGCTGAAGGTATCCAGGCTTGTATCAGAAATAGCACGGCCAGCAGGGCTAGGGAAGTGATTGTTCATTTGTATGCGGCTCTTTTGCAGCTGCACCTTGAAAACTGTGTTCAGTTTTGGGCCATTTCCTACAAGACACATTGGAGTGATGGAGCACATACAGAGAAGACAACAAAGCTGGTGAAGGGTCTGGAGAACAAGTCTTACGAGGAGCAGCTGAGGTAACTAGAGTTGTTTAGGCTGGAGAAAAGGAGGCAGAGGGAAGACCTTATCGCTCTCTACAGCTACCTGGAAGAAGGTTGTAACAAGGTGGGTGTCAGTGTCTTTTCCCAAGTAGGAAGTGATAGGACAAGAGGAAACAGCCTCAAGTTGTGCCAGGGAGGTTTAGATTGGATATGAGGAAAAACGTCTTCACTGAAAGGGTTATCATGCATTGGAACAGGCTGGTCAGGGAAGTAATTGAGTCACCATCCCTGAAGGTGTTTAAAGGACGTGTAGAGATGTGGAACTTAGGGACATGGTTTCATGGTGGACTTAGTAGTGGTAGGTTAACAGTTGGGCTTGATGATTTTAAGGGTCTTTTCATGAGTCTATGAAATGCATAGTAAAATAGCAACATATAGTCAGACCTACAGCATTGTAGTTGAATTATGGCACTAGTGAAGACTAGTATGAAGACTCAGAGTTGAAAGTGTTGCTTTATTTTAAGGCCCACCAGCTAGGCACCTTCTACAAATACATGAAGGTCTTCTAGAATCTTCACTTTGGCAGCTCAGTAACACCATCCTTGAAAGGCTTTGCATGTGCAGTGGGATTTCACTAATCTTTGGGATGAGTACACTTAGTGGGGATGATGTTACTGGCATCTTTAAGAATAGGATTATGAAGTCCAAAATGAAATATTTCAAGTGCAAATTGCATGTGTGGGTTAGGTTTTTTTTTTGTTGTTGTTCTTAGTACAGCTGATATTTGTGTATTTTATCTTCAGATAAGTCTCTGGAACAACCTTATTTAATCTTTTAGAGTTCCTCACTGCAGTGGCTTAAGAGCACAGTATGTGACCAGAGAACAAGGCTGAGATACTGATAGTTTGAAAAAACCTTTCGTCATCTGAAGATTTTGGCATTTGGATTTTTCTGTCCTAGGCTTAGAAGGGGCAGCTAGTTTGTAGTCTGTAAACAGTGACACATAATGCAGCTTTGTGGGGGTGTTCTTACAACTCAGCCTGAATGTAGAAGGTGCTATAGGTACATGTACACATAAAACACATGTTAAAATGTGCTTGAAATAAACTTTTTGACTACTTAATGTTTTCTGTTACCCTGAAAATTTAGACAACAGAAGCTTCACAGTGAACTTTGATTTATCTCCCTTTGCAACAAGCTCTTGAGTATCCCTCAGTAGCAGGTTGTGAGATTGAGGTAGGAGTGGGTGACAAGGGCATTACAGAACTCTGGGTTTACTGATCTGGCCTAAGGGTTAGGTGGATGTTACATGACAGAAAAAACAATATCCAAACCTGATGCCTTGAGCTGCAGTGTTTAAATATGAGTATGTTCTTGGAAGGTCTTGATAGTCTCTGATTCTCTGGAGCATCCTTGTAAGATATGTGGAGGCATTCGTTCACTGAATAGTTTTTCATCCCTCATTCAGTGTTCAATGTTATTGCTAATCTTGTTTGAGGGTGAAGGCTGCTGTTCTCCCTCTCTGCCTCTGAAATTGTAGTATTTCATTCTTGTAGAAGAAGGAGCTTTGGAGAAAAGAGGTTGGTGGCTGCTTCCTGAATAAATTTTTCCAGGTGCCTTGTTTACTGTTTTACCAAGTAGCCAATTCTGTGTGTTATTAAAACTATTAACCCTTTTTGACTCCAGATTTGTTCAGGTGCTGAGCATGCTTAGAACTTTACTTCTGCTGAGATGTAAATCATTCTTTCCTTGCACAGCAAAGTAAATGTGGTCGAGGAAGTAGGAATGCTTTTTTTGTCTGAGCAGGCTGAGCTAGAAGTCAGTTTCATTAAAACTAAATATAATATAAAATGATAGATAAAATTATAAATATTTATATAAATATAATTATACAATATATAATTATGCAAATATAAATAATTATAAATATACCATTATATAGAAATATCTAGTTATTTATGTAAATAATATAAAAATCAAATTAAAATATAAGAGGTGATTTACTGAATGAGGGTCTGGATTATATGCAGAAATATTAATCACTTGGCAGATCTTGTCTTTCATCTGTGTTGCTGAGCTTGCTTCACTAAACATTGAATTGTTGGTCTTTACAGCAGCAAGGGTACTTGTACATTTTCTGGATTTTGGGCATAGACATTCAAGCTTAGCTGTAGTCCACAGACATCAGTTTACTGAATTACTTGACTACAGGTGGTATCAAGCTAGCTGTTTAACTGATTAATGAAATCGAATTAGCAAGTTTTGTGTGTGTGTGTGAGGCAGACTGACAGAGTGTCAACCAACTGGAACAAACCAAACATTGAAAACTAATGTAATACTGTTTAAGGTAGGTCTGCATACTGCAAAGAGATTGTTGCAATGGGATGAGGGAAAAGGGAAGACTTTTGTCTTATACAACCGGTATGGAGAGGTCAGACTAACGAAGGTGGAGGTTTTGTTTGGATTGTCTGTAATCAGCTGTTTATTTAACCTCTAGCTCTTACTTCAAAGCAGAAGGGCAGGAAACAAAAGCTGCTGTGCAGAAGTGTGCTGGTTAACTGAAATTAAAATATGACGTTGCTATAGAGTAGATTTTTAGGAAAAAGTGTAATGGTAGATGGAAAATGCCTTCTGGTATGTTTTGGAGTACTCAGTCTTGTAACTGACTGCTTAAATCATAGACTATAAGAAATTTTGATGTAATCAGTCAGTGATTAAATTAATGATTAGAATACCTATTCCTGGTACAGAATTTCCTTTGACTTTTTTCAAGTCACTACCCTCTGAAATTGTAAAGGAAGTAACGTATCTGTTTCTAATATTTATATGTGATTCCTCATTATACTTTTTATTTTAGGGAAAGCCTTTAGACACTCCAAACTTAGTCTGCCAAATAGCCTAATTATTCCCTTCAAGTAAGACCGGAAGACCAACTCTTTCTGTTGTGGCTTATTCAAATAAATGTAAAAGTTTAAAAGGCCAAACACCAGTCGTAGTCTTAAAAGAATCAGTAATTGTTTTATGCTCCTGGATTCTGTGTTGGAAGTCTCTCTTCAAATACATGTCATTGAGTATCTTTCAGTCTTGCTTTGTTTCTTCATGTGCATATTTTCTAGCAACAGTGGACTGTAAGTGTCAAGTCTTGCAGTTCCTAGGACTAATGGATTGAGGAACCCTAAGTAGTTATTTGACTAGTTGTTTTTCCTGGTCATGCATCATTCACCTCACTGCCTGTTGTGTTGATGGCTGATAAAGCACTAAATACATCAATACTTTTAAAGTAGTCTCACACAGGTAATCCTTATAACACATCCAACAAGTGTACAGTACCCTGAGAAGGGACATACAGTCACTGGAAAAGAAGTGATGAGAATATTGTCAGTGGAGAAGGCTGAGTTCTGTTTTCAGAACCTTTCCATGATTTTGCACAGTCTCCTTCTGATTTTGACATAGTGGCTAGCAATGTAAGAATTACTTGACACTTACACTTCTCTGTGACTGCAGGATGCATTCCAAAATATCAAGAAACCATCAGGTAGGAGGGAGTTGTGATGCTTTATTAAATATAAAGCCTTTTCCTTTCCTGACATTGTGGTTGTTGCCACATGCTCATAGTCTTGCTTCCAGGCTACCTAAGAACAAATTTAACAATTGCCATCTGGTAAAATATTGCTTTAAGTGTATATACTGACTGTTTTCCTTTAGGCATGAGTTAGGGACAACTATCAAACTGTGATGTCGTGGTCAGTCCCAGATATGTTCAGCTGTGAAATGGGATTGAAATGTTGTTGTTTTTTCACTAACTTTGCCTTTTTTTTTTTCTTTCCCCTTTCACCCCCCCACGCCCAGATAACTATTATCTTTAAATCATACCAAGACTGTACAGATCAGAAAGTATATCAAGCAGTGACTGATGACTTACCTGCAGCTTTTGTTGATGGTACAACAAGTGGAGGTGAAGGGAACAGCAAGAGCTTGCAAATTGTGGAGAAAGTCAGTGGCAAATACATTGAAATGCATGCCAGGTATATTGGGACCACGGTCTACATACGTCAGCTTGGGCACTACTTAACATTGGCCATTCGCATGCCTCAGGAGCTGGTCACAGCCTACGAGGAGAGCCAGGATCTGCAGCTCTGTGTGAACGGTTGCCCTTCAAGTGAACGTATTGATGATAATGGCCACTTACCACTGCATGTGATGGGGCAGTTGCTCCCTCAGGGTGGTGCTGCTCATCCCTGGTCAGTGTACACACTGGAAACTGCTACCACAAAATGCCATGAGAAGATGCTGATGAAGGACATATATTTTTATTCATGTGTATTTGACCTACTCACCACTGGTGATGCTAACTTCACAACTGCTGCTCACAGTGCCTTGCGGGATGTGGAGGCACTGCACCCCAGAAAAGAACACTGGCATATTTTCCCCAGCAGTGGAGGTGGTGGTGTGGGCAAGGGTAGCAAATTTTCTGTCAGTTTGGGACTTGTGTGCTTGATCTTTGTTGCATTTTTTTTTTTAGTTTTACTATAACAAAGTTTTGAAATATATATTGTCATAATATATTGAGTAAAGGTGAGTATTTGTGTATATACCATGTATATGAAGGGATGTTTTGTTTTGGGACACCCACTAGATTGTACATATTGTGTTAACTGTTTTCATGTATGTTTGATGTAATATTCTTTGTATCTGTTTATTTTGCAGTTGGTGAAATGTTTTATAATGTCCCTGCACTGGGACCTGATAGAAAGCACTTTATTTTTATATATTAAATATATATGTGTGTATCTGAGTAACTATGTATTATACATATGAACATGTACATACCGTACTTGGTGCTCCCTCTAAGTACTACTTGGCTTAACAAATTATTTTTAACTGGATTAATTTATGGGTTTTTTTCTGTCACTTCTCTTACTCTAGAGACAGTATGTCTCTTGTCCTGTAATGACACTGGTGATTTGCTGGATTCACTAATTAAAACCATTAAGAATGGGATTGTCCCTCAATCAAATGGCCATCCCTTATTCTGGAGGGAGAGAGTGAAGGGCTTCCAATTAACTCAGATAACCATCTCGGACAATGTGAATTACAGAGCCTTCTTTGTAATTTTGACATTTCCTAGTTTCATGGCATGAGTTTCAAAAGAAGAAAAGGAAATGTGTTGGAGTGAGACTTACGTAGCTTTGTAGAACCAGTGGAGAAGATAATTTTGAAAGATATTAATGGTCTAGTTGTGTAAGCATGTAACGTAACTACTGCATCTGCCTCTAACCTTGAGGTCATTCTCGGAGATAGACTGGAGAAGTCATAAGCCTGATCTCTGTCCCTTGCTTAGGTGCTAATTCTATCTATACATTCAGAAGGAGGAGGGGAGTGAGGCTGCAGGCTCTGACTACTTTTACTGAGGAGCTAGGAGAAGAATGATTTGGTGGCCTGAAGGTTGGTTTTACTTAGTGCCGTAATCTGCTGCAAGAATTGGAAGCTTTAATACATGCTGCAATAAACCCAGCTCCAAGACTGTCTTCTTTCACTCTTAAAACTGTTCATCTGAGACTGGACTTCTAAGTTAGAAGTGCTATCTGAATAAGACTCAAATGGCACTTGCCTTTGTTAAGCAAACTTGAGCTAGTGTTCACCTTGGTGGAGGAAGATGGGAGTCTGTTCACAGAATGAGAGCTCCTAGTTTTAATTAAGATTCTTTTGGCTATATTAGGGACTGTTGACTGGTAAAGACAGGGATAGTCTTCTCAAAGAAACTAATTCTGTGTATGGATGGGTAATTCCATACAGGTGTTATTCTGGCAATTCTTGAGATGAAAGTAGTCAGAACTGAGTTGAGGCTAAAGCTAATATTTATTTTAGACTAGACTATTGGCAGGTTGTGCTGACAGTGCCATTTCAGATGAGTTAGACTTGCGGATTTATGATATGTTTGATAATATGCCTCCTGTGGTTTCATCTGATGGTGATAGGCTTCTCCTTATTTTGTGTAGCTGAACTTACTCATCAATGCTCTGAATTTAAAGTTCTCATGGCTGAAAGCCGATGAATGGACCTGGTGTTGCTTGCAGTAGTGCACATATTTACTGGGTAGGCATCGTATACTTGTTAATTTCCTCTGTGCTTGGATCCTATATGTATACACATATATACTCTGTAAATATGTATACTAGCATTGAGTTGTGAGCCTCTCAGATAAGTATTATTTCAGAAATGTAGTAAATCCCCTAAAGAGTTTTAATTTTTCTTGTTCCTGCTGTGGGACTTCTTGAGAAAATGTTACTTGCACATGTTCATTCTTGAAGTCTGCCATCACCAAGAGAGCTTTAGTTAATGCTGAGCGTGGGTATTTTGAAACTAGTGAATGGTCTTGGGAGAGGACTTAAGCTTTTTTTCACAGGCCCTTCAAATGGCTGTCTTTTAGAAGGCTACAGATATTTTTTTCCTCTATGCTTGGAAATCCCACAATGTGTCAGGCTTTGCAAAACCACTTAGATGTGGTTCATGAATATACCAGTAAGTATATGTTTGTATAAAAGGGTGACTGTGCAATGTGTAAATACTTTAAATTACTATGATAGAAGAATAAAGTTGCCTACCCTGCTGAGGAACGTCTGTAATGTGTTAGTGACCCCTGATGGGATGCAGAGAAACTGGGGACGTGGGCCGCATACTGGGCAGGCAATCTATAAATAAAGCCCCACTTTGTCTCCTAGTCATCACTTGTTGTATAGGAATGTGCTGAGTACAATGGTTATACTTTCTTGCAGATTATTGTTTTCCCTCTGCTAAATAAGCTGTGTAGTGAAATATATGACCAGCAGCTGCAAACCAGGCCAGTTTATTCAAGAGAGAGTGTGTGGGAAACCAACAGCAGGAACCATTCCCTCAGGATCCCACTTGTACAGTTCCTCTGTATACAGTGTTTGTGGAGATACTCAGAAGAGCTTTAACAGAGTGATCTGATGTTGCATCCATCCTGAGAAGCATTATGAAAATCCTCTTTTGAAGTTAGTAGAGAACTCTCAGGTCAGAAGAACTGTGGAAGAGAAAATTACCTGCTGTAAAACTGAAAAAGAGATTGAGGCACTGAAAAAATAAATTATATAGAAGAGTCTGTAAGATCACAGAACTTTGTATACCAATGATCTGCAAGTATATGTGGGAGCGGTAATATTTCAGCTGCAGGGCTAATCACATGGTATGGAAGTAAATTGAAAGTACCAGAGCTTAAAACCAAGTTATGTCAGATACATACCAAGGAAGGTAGACCTAATAAACACAACTGTGAATGTTGGTGTTACAAGTAGAATTTGAGGTGTGTGGGGAGCAATGGTAGATCACTGAAATGCTTTGTGGAAACAACTGTAGAAAGCACAGGGAGTTATGTATACAGAGGATAGCCATCGTATCTGTAAGACCTTACTTTCAAAGGTGTTAGTCTACCACCACAAGTTCTGCAGAAGGCAGTATAGCAAGATCATCGGTATTTTAATGCAACAACTAGTAAGCTATTACTGATGCTATTGGCCTTTGTCTTAAACTTAGTTGATGCCTTGGATATTAGCAGCTTATTCAAAAGATTATTTCAAGTATCTTCTAGAGCATTTCTAAACAGAGTATTTCCTAATCCTGTGCTAACAGAGTTCTTAACAGCAGCCGAGGATAGTTCTCTGTAGCTGTGTAGTCTGACAGCTTCCATAGGAAGCATCTCAGAACTGAGCAGAGAACTGGCTGCTTAATCCTTCATTTTGTATGAACATATGGCTCCTAAACAAGGGTATTATAAAAGGAAATAGTATGCTCAACTGACTGTCAAACCAAAAATTATTTCTTCTGTCTTCCTGGAAAACCTGGCTGAAAGAATAATTTGCATAGAGCACCTGTTAAGTGGAACACAACCTGGGAGAATGCAGGGTATGAGAACAACCTGACTTTTGTTCTTATTCTCAGGTTAAGGCCCTTCAGTTGTGCATTTCCTTTCAAAATGCTGCTGTACTTCAAGAAAATAGGTCACCAACTATTTACATTCTCTTAGCTTAGCACTATGGATACCATGTGTATTAGTGGACATGTTTCAAAAAAAAGCTGAAGTGGTTTGTATCTGTCTTCTCTTTTCACAGATTCAGTGCAGTTTCAAATATTGTATTAATTTTCTTCATGTAAATACAGCTGCAGTGTTTTACACTGAAATTTTCATGCTTTGGGTTATTTTAATTCCAATCTGTGTCTTGGCTGATACAAACTGTATTCCTTTTTGCCTTTCCCTATTCCAGTTATTACAGACTGCTATCTATACAATGCCTAGACACAACTAGTAATGACTCCCTTTTTTTAGAAGGTATTCTTTGTTGTTGTTTACAAGATGAGCATTCTCTGTGTTGTGCTGCTAGTTCTCTCTGTATTCAAAACAAAAAAGGATTGTGTGGGTCAATGTTGTTCATTAGATTTTATCATTAATTACCTTGTTTTGGAGAGCAGGATAGCCATAGATCAAGTATGCAGGTAAATTTATTGTGATCTTGATGAAAAACAGTTGCATTTGATCTGATTCAGAATTCTTTTAATCTGACTGTGTTTGTAAATTATACTTTGCTGAAATTAAAAGTTGCTGATAGTAAATCAACTGTGAACAGTAAGACTGATTACAGACTGGATACATGCAGGGGTATGTATCAGAACCGATAACTAGATATAAAAAGGACTTAATGTGTTGTATGTGGAGTGCCAATAACTTTTATTTATAGGAATTATTTTGTGATTACTACTGCAGTTTTAAAACTTAACTTCCACTTTTTTCTACACCATAACAGTAGAAGAATAATACATTATATACACAAAACATGTACATGTCATTGGTTACAGTATGTGCCGATGGCCGGGTCTACAAAAAGTATTTTATGTCTGGTTGGTGCGTGAAATTATTAAATCTGAAATTGAGATACACAGCAAAGCCTTCTTGGCTTGAACCCAGACATTTCTTTAGGATCTCTACTTCTCTGTTCTTAATCCACTTCCCTTAAGGAACTTGTATTTCTGTTGCTAAGCAGAGAAAACAAATGTAGTCTTGAGGGTTGTGCCTGCACCCTAGTCAGATTGACACGTTGTTCATCTGACTGGTTTACCTACGGGACTTTTTTGGCAGATACCTCACCTGCTTACTCACGTTTGGCAGGTGATGGTAAGAGTTGTTTATAGTGTAGTGGCAGTAAGCATTCTGCTGGAGTTTGGGAGAGGCAAATTAAAATTTCTCCTCTGCCTTGATCTTTCATATATTGTGAGAATGCCAGTATCCTAATAGCTGGGAGCTATTATCAAATGTGCCATTCTGTGTTGTTACAAAGTGATAACTTTATCCAAACAAGGTCTTAGTTACCTTGAAAGAGGTTGGAAGTATACTTTATGCTTGAGAGTTATTGCACTGAAATTCAGTAAACTAAACGTGTAGGCCTTCTCTGTAGTCAGTAAATGGCAATATTGTAGGTTGGGTTAAATTGTCTTCTGGTGGTGTCTACTGATATCCTTCAGTAGAGGGGAGGCCAAGGCAGCTAATTTTTAAATAGCTGAAGTCAGATGAGATTAGTCCAGCCCTGATGGGGACATTTTAAATTCCAGCCTAGGTTCCTGTTCAGGGACTACCTATGTTTGCTAGCAACAAGACAGCTGACCCAGCATTTCCTGCACAGTACCACATCTGTCTTCCAGGCCTCACCAATGGAGGCCTCTGAAAGCCTCATGCCTGGCCTTTACACTGAAACCTTCAATATTTGGTTTCTTTTGAAAGCATGCCTGAAGAAGGCCACCCTGTCCTTTCTGTACTGGCTTCTCCTCCCCTCTCAAAGCAGCTCTATGCAGGGGGAGGAAAATAGACAGAAAAAAAAACCAAAAAACAAAACAAAAAAAAAAAACACGAGAGAGAAAAGAAACAGGAGTCAGGGGGTAAAGAGGAAATAAAAGATTGAGTGGAATCATAAATCATAGCAGGTAAGGCTTCTAATCTTGATTTTGGCCTTTAATTCCCAGACTGCTTACATTTTCCAATGAATGAGACAAAGTATATAATGTAAGTCTGCATAGGAGCAAGGGCTGTATTTTCTAATTAGCGTGTCTTATCATTTAGGCTGTCCTTTGGTATGACTGTTGCTGCCATTACCATGCAAGTGTTTACAGAAAGGGAACTGTTTCAACAGGTGAGATTGCCAAAACCCTTAACTACCCTGCAGCTAAATTATTAATGTATTTGACTAGAAAATACCTGCCTTCTCGGGTAACTAATAATCATTATCCTGCTGGATTTATCAGCTTTTTTTTAGCAGTCATAAATCAAAGTGCAAGCTGCCTCCTTAGCTGGTAACTCTGGTGGAGGAGTTCTACCTCTGAGCTGGAGTTTTCAAGTCCAGTGAGAATTTTACCCCAGTATTTCCTACTACATAGCTAAAAGCTACAAACTCCTGCTGTGTATCCTGACAGTCCAAGGTATCCCACTGTCCATGTGGGATCCAAGGTATATCCAAGGTATTGCTCCAAGATACCTCTCAAACAGCAGTGCAACCCAAATGTCTGCATGCTATGCTTCTTAGCACTGCAGTGCCCAAAGAGTAGGTCCAGTATATGACTTGAGTGATTTTAAAAGCTAGCTCACCTCTAAAATCATTGCAGATACCTGTAACATCCTCAATACAAATAACTCATTACTTAGCTATATCTGATTAAATCCTTTAACTTGACCCCCCTTTTATAAGAACTCCAGAGGCCTGATCCAGCAGCTGTCCTTTCTCAGAACAAATGGTCAGCTTTTTCATACCAATCTGCTTGGAAGCATATGAGACCTGCCTTCTAACACTGTGTTAGGATTCAAAAATGTCACTCCCACTTTCTGTAGGTAGGTAGCATCTCATGTCAGTGCAATAACTCTAGCCCTGCCAATCCATAGAGAGAGCCCAACAGTGGCAAACCCCTCCTGGTGGCTAGGGCAAGTAAAAAGTAATGTACATCACTGTCTGTGGTGCCATCTCTAATCCCTTTGTCCTGACTTTGATGCACTGCCAGCGGTTTGGGATGACATATCTTCATCTAGTCCTTGCTTTTTCAGGTGCTGCCAGTCATCTCTCCTCAGCTTACTTAAAACACAATGAACCTGAACCTGTAAAGTAAGTTGATACAAAAGCTACTAGAGGTAGGTGATATCAGAATAGACTTTTCGAAGGAATTAAATTTGTTTTTTTCTTTCATTTAATATTTTTACAGTACTTTAGCAATTATAAATCCTTTAAAAAGGTACTAATAATTAAACTGTGGCTTGCACAAGTAGTGTTTGTGATTCTTTGGAATGCCACCACTTCAGAATATATATTTTCTTTTAACATGCATATAAAAAAGTCACAAGTCTCACCTCTTCTTAGAAATGAGGTGGCCTTTGTGTTTGCTAAAGAGGTCAATAAATAGTCCCATTAGGAGATCAGATATAGTTATTCCTCTATAATAAGCATAATTGGTGAAAAATAATTTGAGATGCACCTACATCTATGGCAATCACAGTTTTCTGCCCTCTCCCTACAAGTAGGGGTTGCTCCTGCGTTGTCTGATGGAAGCAGAATTGTATAATGAAATC